ATCACATGTGGGAAAGTAGGGTTCAATGTCTGAGAAGCGGGATGAGAATGTTGGGCAGGAGATGCAAGCAAACAATAGCACCAGAAACCATTTCCCCTTAAGAACTACTTTTTGGGCTAGCTGGTAAGAGAACCGGTAGTTGAGGTTGACATGGGAAAACAGTACTTTTGTTGTAAGACCTTTTGATGTGCCAGAGCAATGAGAAGGGTTTCCTTCTCTCTGCTTCCTTCTCTCTTTCTTTCTCTGGTTCTCTTAGTAGTGAAGATGGAGCATGCAAAACTAGCCAAGGCAAACTATCTACCACTGGTATCCAATTATGAAAATCTTCCTTAGTGGGTCATTTGTCTTCATACTTCACCTTGTCATGGAGGGAAATGAAGCTTCTGGCAAATATTGGTAAATGGATTTCCTTTTTACTCTCTTTTGAAATGAAAGCAGAAAAAGGAAAGAAGAGACTTCAGAGGACTATGCAATCTATTCTTAACCTCTTTTGCAAGACACTTTGCTTGGGCTGAGAAAATAAGCAGCATCTGTTCTGAGCTGTTACTCATAAGTATTGGGTTTGGTTGAAGAAGTGGCCATGTGGAAAGGGGGAGTAGAAAAACTAAACAAGTTTCCCATTAAGCCTTCTGAATTGTTTCTTCAGCGCTATGGAAAATTAATGGCCTGTTGATCTTGTACAAATTGTTCCAGGTCATGGCATGACTGATGGCGATCTTTAAAAAATAATTTAAATTATTTGCCTCTGGTTGAAATTCATTTTGGCTTTATATACATTGGAGAATATTAGGATACAGCATCAAGCTTCTGTTATTTTGAAAAACAAATTGTTTTTTTTTCTGTACATCCATAGGAAAATTCATGGATTTGTTTCATCAACCCTGTGGCTGCCAAGATTATCTTAGCACAGGACTTAGTCAATTTTATACTACTGGACACAGAGCTGTGTCAGAAAGAGCTGGAGGACTTCTAGCTTCCTTTCTATACACTGTTTCAATGCTCCTATTGTCCTCTACCCACTCACATTCTCTCATATACATTCATTCTCTGATCCCAAACCCTGCTCACATATTCATTCGTCTTCCTATTCTTATAGCTGCTGAAAGGCCCATACATGAACCTGTCATACCCACATTTCCTTGTATTCTATCAGTGCCTTCTTGGTTGAGTATACTGCTTCTGCTTTCTCCTCAGAAAAGCACACTATGTGCTTACTGCATGTCAGGCATTAGGTGGGCCAAACACTTCACATACATTATCTTTAAAGCAATCCTGTGAACATGCTTGCTGTATAACTTTTTGGTGGGAAGATCTCAAGAAACTCTATCACTCCCAATAGAGAGGACGCCAACAGATCAAAAAAGGATTCTGCCAATGTTTAGCTTGGTAAACCAACAAACTTATTATGGTTTTTCAAAGATGAGCCCTTGTTGCTAGAGTTTTCCTGCTTTGCCCACAATCAGGACAAATTTCTCTTAACCGCCAGTCCCACAGCTGCTCAGACCCAACCAAGTAAACACAGAGACTTATATTGCTTACAAACTGTATGGCCATGGCAGGCTTCTTGCTAACTGTTCTTATAGCTTAAATTAATCCATTTCCATAAATCTATACCTTGCCACATGGCTCGTGGCTTACTGGAGTCTTCACATTCTGCTTGTCATGGTGGCAGCTGGCAGTGACTCCTTCCGCCTTCCTGTTCTTTCTTTTCTTCTCTCTGTTAGTCCCACCTATACTTCCTGCCTAGCCACTGGCCAATCAGTGTTTTATTTATTGACCAATCAGAGTAATTTGACATACAGACCATCCCATAGCAAGCCCTGGTGACTTAAAGGTAGCCATAGCACCAGGATTTCTGCTCCTCACACACACAGACCCTTACAGGCAGCTACAACATCAAGAAACCTTATCCCCAGTCAGTTGTTTATGCCTTATATCATTCCAGGAGGAGTCACATGGGCACCCTTCTCCTGTCAATAGGTCCCAGCTCATAAAGAGTTTTGTGCCTGTGATTACAGCTATTTTGCTTCAAGATGATGATCATCAAGTTCAACTGGAGAAAATAGGTCTACAACAATGTTCAATTTAGCAATGAGGATAAAACTGCTCTAAGGGGAAGAACTAGTTGATGTGGAATCAGAGTTTGCAATTAAGATTGCCTAGTCCCCAATCCTGAGGTCACAATCATCACAATTTCTTTAGTTCACCTTTCACATTGACCATAGAGTTACCTTTGTAAATCACATTTAATATAATTTAAATTCATTCTCTCTTGCCATAACTATATGCATATATGTATATATTATATGAACCTTCATATATATGTATATGTATTAACCTTTCATATATATGTATGTGTTCATGTGCGTCAAGTGCATATGCACATGTATAAGAGCCAGAAGTCAACCTCAGGTGTTATTCCTTGGGTGCTATCCACCTTGTTTATTGAGACAGGGTCTCTTACTAACCTGGAACTTACCAAGTAGCCTAGATTGGCTATCCAGCAAGACCCAGGAATCCACTTGTCTCCATCCATCTCTGTAGCACTGGGAATTATAAGCACACACCAGCACACAACTTTTCCTTTTCTTTCTTTCTTTCTTTCTTTCTTTCTTTCTTTCTTTCTTTCTTTCTTTCTTTCTTTCTTTCTTTCTTTCTTTCTTTCTTCCTCCCTTCCTCCCTCCCTCCCTCCCTCCCTCTCTCTCTCTCTCTCTCTTTCTTTCTTTCTTTCTTTCTTTCTTTCTTTCTTTCTTTCCTTCTTTCTCTTTCTTTCTTCCTTCCTTCCTCCCTTCCTTCCTTCCTCCCTCCCTCCCTTCCTTCTTTCCTTCCTTCCTCTCTCTGTCTGTCTCTGTCTCTCTCTCTCTTTCTTTAAGACACATTCCTTCTATGTAGTCCTGGCTGTCCTGGGACTTCTCATGCAGACCAGGCTGGCTTCACCCTCAGAGAGATCCACCTATCTCTGATTCCCAAGTGCTGGGGTTAAAGGTGTATGTCACTATGCCTGGATTCTTTTTTAAATTAAATTATTATTATTATTATTATTATGATGATGATGATGATGATGTAGGATTGAACTTAGGTCTTTATGTCTGCAAGGCAAGCACTTCACCAACTGATATGTGTGTATGTATATGTATGTGTAACAAAGTAGCATGTTTTCTTATTGTATTTTCACACATACTTTTGGTTGAATCCTCTCCCCTTATTCTTCCCCTTATTTCACTGCTCCTCCTGTCCCTGTTCTACCCTTCCATCTCCAGTACTGCTCTGTTCACTTTCACATCATATGTTTGACTACCCTTTCAACTCTCTCCCTTAAAGTCTCCTTTTACCAATCTTACAAGTCCTTTTTCAGTCGTCTAACCCCACTAGCATGCCCACATAAATACATAGTTAACAAGGATCCATGCATCAGAGACAGCCTTCAACCATCCCCTCTAGTACTATGCCTTTAAACTGAGACACTTTACAATCAATCGGTCTAACCTGTGGCCCATAGGCTTCACGTGTCCTAGGATAGCTACAAATGTACCCTAACACATTTGTAGATGACATTGTGTCAGAATGTCAAAAAGTTAGACACTTTGGATAGTATAGGTGAGATTTCATAACTTCGCTTGGTTTTAGTTTCTTACTTCATTTCATTTTTGTCTAAGTTTCAACCTGCAATGTTTTTCTTCTGATTCTCATCTCCTACCCCCTACCCACACCCCCACTCTTTCATTCTCTCCTGTTTGGGATTGTTAGCTTTCTGTTTTTGTAAGAAATAGCTGAGCTAATCAACTCTGTAAGAGGGAAGCTTTATTCTGGCTTATGGCTTGAAAGGTTTCAGTCCATGTTTGTATGCCAGTTTGGAGGTCTGGTGAGGGATGATGTAGTCTGTGGTAAGGGACGATGAGGTCTGTGGTGAGGGACAAAGCTGCTAATTTTATGGCAAAAAGAAAAGAGTCATCTTGGATCTCAATATCCCTTTCAAGGGATATACCCACCACCATCTAAAGTCCTTCCAAAAGGTCTTACCTCTTAAAATTCCACAACCTCCCAATATTGCCAGAGGCTGATGGCCTAAGTTTTTTGGGGGGAGGGGTGTATTTAAGATCTAAATGAGAGCTGGTGGTAGTACACAGTTTTAAATCCAGCACTCTGGAGGCAGAGGTGGGTGAATCTCTGTGAGTTCAAGGCCAGCCTGGTTTACAGAGTGAGTTCCAGGACAGCCAGGACTACACAACACAGTAAAACCCTGTCTCAAAAAGTAAAAAAGCAAACAAATCTAAATGATAACAGTGATAAAACTTAGCCTTCCCAGATTGGATTTTTGACTCGTCTAGGTGTTTGTGTGTTGTCTTTTGTAGATCTTCGTTTCTTCACACATACAGCCTCTCATCCCTCCTTGAGCTTCTTGGATTTCTGTGCTAGCATTGGTTCCACCAATGTTGTGACATGCCATATAGAGAGACTCCCTGACACTCTGAGCCCAAAGGAGTTTTCTAGATGCAACTCCTTTCTTTCTGAAGTTTCATAAACTTTTTAAAAAATGACTTCTTAAAAGTCAACTTCACAAGGCTAAAGAGATGGATCGGTGGTTAAGAGCACTTACTGCTCTCAAAGAGGACTAGAGTTCAGTTGCCAGCACCCACATGGTAGTTCCCAAGCATTTTTACCTCAAGTTCCAGGGGATCCCATACTCTCTTTTGAACTCCATGGGCACTAAGCATGAATGCAGGTAAACACTCTTACACACAAAATAAAAATAAATTTAAAATAAATAAACAAATATTGAAAATAGAAGCCAACTCTGGGGACTGGCAGATGGGTCAGCTAGCAGAGGTGCCTTCCACCAAGCCTGATAACCCAAGTTTGATGCCCAGAACTGACTCCCATAAACTGCTCTCTCATCTTCATCCATACTTGTCCCTAACACTAAATAAAAGAAATGGAATAAAACATTTAAGACAACTTTGGAAATTTATTAGACATTGCATCCTTAAATATTGCTCCTATACTGTTTGTTTTCTCCTTCTAAGGCTCAGTTTAAACAGGATTTTTTTTGTCATTGATTTTGGACAAGTAAGAACATGTATTTGAAAATTCCTAGTTCCCACCCCCATAACATATAGTCTTTTTTTTTAGCTATTTGTACAGTCCAGTAAATGCAGAAGGGAATTACAGGCATAGGAAGACACACACCGTTTGGAAATTAATGATAAAATATTTTTTAAAGAGAAAAACATATTGATATCCAACTCTTCAAACATCCTACTGCTTCTTAAACCCAGTAGTCATACAACTTACTTCATTAGCACAGTTTATCTGGCAACATAATTGTTATTAAATGCAGAAACAATGTCAGGAACAAGCATTAACGAAGGACCACTTCAGGCAGCATCAGAGGGTGGCCCTCAGTCCTCCTCAGTAGAAGCAGACGGTGTGCAGGAAGGTCTTTCCAGTCTTTACCTCAAACATCTGCAGCAGCTCTGTGATCTCATCATCCACATCTTCCATGTGCTGGATACTATGGCAGAGCTCACAGATGAGCAAGGCCCCAAGGGTGGCTTTTTTGTAGTTGTTAGGGATGTTCACATTGATCACATGCACCAGCTGACACACACCCTGTTCCCTGGCATTCAGGTATTCCACCACCTGGTCATAGACATGCTCCTTACATGTGAAGATCACATCGAAGATGTCTTTGCTGCTCTGGAACTGTTCAGGGCCAGACTTGATTTTCCTGTTTCTATCCAGCATGTGTAAAATGCCATTCTGGGTGTAGAAGGCACTATCTTTCTTCAGCAGATCATGGTATACTTTGTCATACATGGTTTGGAAATCATAAATGGTTGGCTTGTCAGGTGTGGGCCCAGGAAGCTTCACAAAGCCCTCAGTTCCAAAGGACTTCACGTTGAACCCTTGTTTGCTCAGGACTCTATGCACCTCCATGCTCTGGTTCTGGTTGTTTGGGCACACCACGGCCACATGGAGTGGAAGTGACGGCATAGTAATGACAGCGGCAGCTTCAGAGATGTCTCTCAGACGCTAGTGAGCATCAAAATAGCCATGAAGTGGCATTTTAAAGTCCCGGCCGAAATCACGCTGGCTGGCTGCCTGGGTGGAAGTTGCCTGCTGCCCGTAGGTGGGGCTGAACAGTCAGGCTGTGAAGTACTGATGTTTGGACCATGTGATTTCATGCGCATTGAGGAAAGTTCGAAGGCAGTTGATGTGACGTCACCACCAATGATCCACAACAAATGAAAAGTCCTCGTGATGTCTCCGTAACTATGGGCACAGTTGCCTGTGTCTGTCATCCCAGAACTCCCATGGCGAGATGGGAAATACAGACAGGAGAATCTCTTATAATCTGTGGGCCAGACAACCTGGTGTACACACCAATGAACAATAAAAAAGTGACCCTATCCCAAACAAGGTGAAAGGTGACAACACCTGAGGTTGTCCTCTGACCTCTACACACATGTGTACACACACACACACACACACACACACATACACACACACACACACACACACACACACACACACACACACACACACACGGAGTGGTACATAACATCCTATCTTTCATAGTCCAGTGTATACAGAGGATTCTGAATTCACTTAGTTTTATTTATTTCCTCCTACACCTCAAAAAAGTTTGAGACACACAACTCTCCTGGGACAGTGCTCAGTTGAGATCAGAAAATCCTTAACTTTTCTCCTGTGTAACCTGTGAAAAATTTGATATTGATCCCTCTCTGTGCTCCAACTCTTCCCTCCCCTTGTTCTGAGAAGATTTTCTCCTGTATGTCCTTCTACATCTCTGGTCTCTCCTTCCTCTAACTCCTCTAACTCTGCCTTTTTAAATGTGGGTGTTTTTCAGGATCTGTTCTTGTTCCTTTTATCATTTACACTTTTGGAGCAATCTAATGAACTGCAGTATATCATCACCATCTTGTATAGTATTTCTCAAACATTTGGAATCTAATGGGATAATGACATATTAGAACTATCAGGTTTTTAATTAAAAGATTCATTTCTACTTGTAATTTATTTTAAAACTACAAAAACAATGCATAGTTATCTCTAATGAAGAAGTAATGCCATTTTCATAACAGAGGAAGTGATAAAGTCATTTGCAATCTTTTCTCAGTGTCTATGTTGAATAGCTTGAATTTTAGGTCAGGTTCCAGTACATTATCCCTCCTCTTTATACTAGTTTTTGAAGCCCTAATTCACAATCTTCAGTTGAAGGAATAGTATCAAGTGTTTGCTGAATTTTCCAGGTATGTTTTGGATATCAGTTAAATATAGAAACAAAAATTATGAAGAGGATTCTAACTAAAAATTAATGTTTTGTTATGTGTTCAACTAATTAACACATTGAAGAAAAATAGTGGGATGTGTTGTGGAATAATTTTTTTGTACACTGTGAAGATTTATCAATTGGATTGGTTTAATAAAAAAAGATGAATGGCTAATAGCTAGGCAGGATTTTCAGGACAGAGAGAATGCTAGGAAAAAGAAGGATGGAGTTGAGAGGAGATGCCATGAGACACAGTGTGACAGGATGAGAAGTACATAAATGAGATAAATGAGCCTGAAGGCAGCACATAGATTAATAGAAATGGATTAATTTAAGTTATAAGAACTAGTTAGAAACAAGCCTAAGCTGTCAACTGAGCTTTCTTAATTAATGAGAAGTGTCTATGGTTCTTCAGGAGCTGGCAGACGAGACATATTAATCCACTTATAGAGATGAATATTTTAGCTTGGGAAATTGCAACAGATTGCCAATCTATTCTTTAGTTGTATTGCCTTCTTTGTAATTAAAATCTTAAGTATTTGGTGTGTGTGTGTGTGTGTGTGTGTGTGTGTGTGTGTGTGTGTGTGTATAGAAGCCAGAGGTCACCTCTGGCTGTCATTCCTCAGGCGTTATCCACTTGGTTGGCTTTCTTTTTCTTGAGACAGGGTCTCACTGGCCTGGAGCTGGCCAAGTATGGCTTGGCTAGCTGGCCTATGAGTCCCAGTGGTCCACCTGTCTCCACCTCCCAGCACTAGAGTTATGAGACCACACCACTACACCTAGCTGTTTTCCATGAGTTCTGGAGATCAAACTCAGGTTCTTGTGTTTTGTGTCATGTACTTTAGCAACTGAGCTTTCAATCCAGCCCCATGACAGCCTTTTCCCATGTGTCCTGAGAATCAATTTCAGGTCTTTATGTTTACACAGCAATCATTTTACTGACTGAGCTATGGCCACAGCTTACAAGTTAATAATTAATCAATTTGATCTTCAACCACTTTTTAAGGTGCCAACATTATTTAAATTAAAACAGATAAGTGGTGTGTAGATTTAGGTAAATCACACCAATTCACTCATTAAGACAGCACTGTAGAGTATTCCTTTTAAACAAGAGTTGAAAGGAAAAGTGACCATATTAACTTTAATATATTAATATCAAAGTATACTATTTAAGTAGCCTAATTGAGATTTAATAACTTAGTATGAATGTTTTCCACACAAACATGCCAATAAAAGATACATACAAAGGAAAATAAATTGTAGACTGATGAATTTTCTTAAAATTATTGCTGATTTTTCCATTAACCTATCCAAATTTATTCTCAGGTTTTCAATCCATAAATTTAATTCTATATTGGAATAGAAGGCCAGATTTCTCATATACACAGATAAAAACAGGGGAATTTGACCTAGCTTTTACAAGAATTTCCTTGGAGGCCCCTTCTTCCAAATAGCTGAAGATCACCTGACATGGGTTTTTTGAAGAGGTCCTGTTTCAATAACTCACTCCAATGAACCTTTATGTTCTCTCTTGCACACACATTTGTGTACTAGATGCAGGAAGGATAGACACTATGAAGAACACTTCACTAAACTCACTCTTGACTAGATATAAGCACAAACTCTATATGATATGTCCAGGACTAAGAACATTATTCTAACCTCCAGGCAACAACTGTCCACTTGCTTTACTAAAAAACTAGCATACTAGGCTATCGAGATGGCTCAGTCAGTAAAAGCTTGCCATTCACACATGAGAATAGAGAATGATCCCACAAAACCCACATTTAAGACCAGGCATGGCAGTGCATGCCTAAAATTCTAGTGATGGGGTGGTGGAAACAGAAGGATCCCTGCAGCTTGATGGCCAGCCAGATGAGCCAAATTGGTGAACTCCAAGTTCACTGAGAGACACTGTCTGAAAAAATTGAGGCATCCCAGTGCTGAGGAGGTGGAGACAGGCAAATCCCCAGCTAGCTTAGCCTAATCAGTGAGCCCAGGCCAGTGGATAGTTCCTGAAGAATGACACCTGAGGTTGACCTTTGGCTTTCTCACATATGTGCACACAAGTGTATCCACAGGAACACACACCTACATGAACACAAACACTTACATTTTCACATACATACCAAAATCCCTGAACTTGTATGAAATACTTTTTTGGTTCATGGTAGCACTATATTAGTTTCGGGTTTTTTCTGTATATGTCAGTTATCATTGTTACTTATAAGGAAACATGCCAGTATGAAACTTTTTTCTTGGCACAGATATACAAGCAAAGATAATAGTAGAAGAAGTATGAAAATCAGGCTGAAAATCATATGGCTTCCTGAAGGGTAGATAAGGATCTTACCTGTTCATCTTTGAAACAAGAGGCACATGATTAGGTGTTTAAGAAACTTAACTTAAATAAATAGAGTTCCCTAAGGATGAATAATTATTGATTCTTGCATTTTCTTTTTATGTTTTGTACATCTACTTAGAGTTTGAGTATGGACAGAATGGTCTTATCTTTTCTCATTGTTGTCTCCCAGGCTGTTCTGGAATTTGCTATATAGCCCAGGTTTGCCTTGAACTTGAGAGTCTCCTGCTTCAGTCTCCTGAGTGTTGTGATTACTGATATGTACCCCATACCCAGCATGAGTGATCTTTAATTGTAATAAATTAGATTCTATTTATATTAGTGTGATTTTTTGTTTTACTTCACTGACATAGCAAAATTATTTTTTTGTTTTCTCTCCAGCTTTACAAGGTGCAAGTGATGAGCTAGCTGTGGTGACACATGCTTTGTAATCCCAACATTTAGGAGTTTGAGGCAGGAGGACTGCCTTAAGTTTGAAGCCAAATTGTGCTGCATAGTTAATGCTAGGACAGCCAGAGATGTGTAACAAGAATAATTTAAAAAGTTATAATTTACAAATAAATTTTTTATGTATTAATGGTGTACAACCTAATGTTTTGCCTTTTTATCTTTCGGCAGTGCTGGGTTCAAACCCAGGGCCTCTTCCATCCTAGGCAAGTGCTATACCACTAATCCACTGATCTTGGCTCTTTATGCTCTGATACACATATGAACACTGTGAAATGATTATGTCCACAAATCTGTGAACCTGCTTTCTGCTGTGGGATGTCTTTCTGTACACGGTGAGTATGTGTAACTGAGATTGGTTAATAAGGAAGCTACTCTAGCCTACTAGGTTGAGTCAGGTTATAGCCAGGCAGGAAATCCAAGAGAGAGACAGGAAGGAGAAAGGAGAGGCAGGAGAGACCCCAGCCTGCTTCCCAAGGAGCAACATGCCAGCATACTGTAAAGCCACGGGACATGTGGCAAAACATAGATTAATAGAAATAGGAGGCCTGACAAAAGGCCATACAATTTATAAATTGTGGTGGTATTGTGTTCCCCAATATTTTGTGCACCCTAATAAACTTATCTGGGGGTCAGAGAACAGAACAGCCACAATATTAAACATAGAGGTTAGTCAGTGGTAGCACACACACCTTTAACCCTATCATTCCAGAGGCAGAGATCTATCTGGACCTCTGTGAGTTAAAGTCACACTGGTAACAGCCAGGCATGGTGACACACACGTTTAATCCCAGGAAGTGAAGGCATGACAACCAGGAACTAAAGTCCTGTTAAGCTTTTAGGCTTTTGAAGAGCAGTTCAAGGACACAGAGCCTTCAAGTTTGAGGAAATGAATTCAACTGAGGAGTTGTTGAGGTGAGGTGGCTGTGGCCTGTTCTGTCTCTCTGATCTTTCAGCATTCACCCCAATACCTGGCTCAGTTTTTTTTTTTTTCTCCGAGACAGGGTTTCTCTGTGTAGCTTTGCGCCTTTCCTGGAACTCACTTGGCAGCCCAGGCTGGCCTCGAACTCACAGAGATCCGCCTG